TCTAGCTTATCTTCTGGAGTTTGTGTGTTGTTGATTATGGTTTGTATCCTGCTAATGCTGTGTATTAGGGGCTCTAGCATTGATCCTATTTTTTCTTTTATGAATGTTATAGTTTCTGGCTTTATATTTAGGTCTTTGATCCATTTTGAATTAGTTTTTGTATATGGTGTAAGGTATGGATCCTTTTCTTTTTTTGCAGATGTATATCCAATTTTGCCAGCATCGTTTGTTAAAAAGACTGTCTGTTCCCCGTTTGATGGACTTTGAGTCCTTATCAAAGATCAGGTGATTATAGGTAGATGGATTTACATCTGGGTTCTCAATTCTATTCCATTGGTCAAAGTATCTGTCATTGTACTAGTATCAGGCTGTTCTGACGACCATAGCTGTATAGTAAGTTCTGAGGTCAGGTAGTGCGAGTCCTCCTACTTTATTCTTCTTCTTCAATAGTGCTTTACTTATCCGGGGCCTCTTCCCATTCCATATAAAGTTAATGATTAGTTTTTCCATCTCTTTAAAGAATGCTGTTGGTATTTGGATCAGAATTGCTTTGTATTTGTAAATTGCTTTGGGTAGAATTGTCATTTTCGCAATGTTGAGACTACCTATCCATGAGCATGGTAAGTTTTTCCATTTATGTAGATCTCTTTTGGTTTCTTGCAGTAGTGTTTTGTAGTTTTCTTTGTATATGTCGTTTACATCCCTGGTTAGATTTATTCCTAAGTATTTTATTTTTTTAGGCGCTATTATAAATGGTATTGTTTTCCTGATTTCCTTTTCATCGTTCTCTTTATTGGTGTATAGGAAACCAACTGATTTTTGTATGTTGATCTTGTATCCTGCTACTCTGCTGATACTTTCTATTAGTTCCGGTAGTTTTCTCATGGAGTCTTTTGGGTTTTTTATGTATAGTATCGTATCACCCACAAATAGGGGCAGTTTAACTTCTTCATTACCAATTTGGATGCCCTCTATTTCTTTTTATTGCCTTATTGCTCTAGCTAGGACTTCCAGCACAATGTTAAATAGGAGTGGTGATAAAGGGCATTCTTGTATTGTTCCTATTCTCAAGGGGAATGTTTTCAGCCTCTGTCTATTAAGAATGATGTTGGGAGTTCACTTGGTTGTAGCTGGGCACCTAGGTAAGGCACCTCTTCAGTTTTTTCTGAGACACTGGCCCAGTCTCTCTGCCTCGGCCAACATGGATTTCAGGGAAATTCTCCTGATTGCGTCCAAAGGACAGGGTGTCAACAATGTGCTGTAGCACAGCAACACGTTTCGTATATAAGAATTACATCAGAAGAGTTCCGGCAAAATGGTGCTCTAGGCAGAAGCACCACGCCGTCCCTCCACAGCAAAGATCCGAAAAACTAAGCTGAACAGAGAATACAACAATCCTGAAACCCT